GAGGCCATAACATTTACCTGCTATGGGGGATTACAAATATTTCATTCTTTTCATTGATGATTTCTCTCGTTACACCTGGATTTACCTCATGAAATCCCGGGATGAAGTACCAAATATTGTACAAAAATTTCATAAACTTATACTTACCTAGTTTAATACTCAAATCCAAATATTCCAATCTAATAATGCAAAGGAATATTTTGAGAAGAGCCTTTCCTCCTACATTGATACCTTTGGAGTTATTCATTAGAGTTCCTGTTCCTACACTCCTCAACAAAATGAAGTGGCGGAAAGGAAGAACAGACATGTGGTTGAGGTTGCGAGGAGCCTCCTTTTTGCTTCCCATGTTCTTGTTAAGTTTTGGGGGGATGATGTCCTTATAGCTACATACTTGATAAACCAAATGYCTTCCCGGGTTTTGGGGTTTAAAACTCCCTTTATCTTGTTTTTCCCAAATGAGGATCTATTCTCTCTTCCTCTCAAAGTGTTTGGGTGCACTTGCTATGTTCATGTTCATAGTCATCAAAGACATAAGTTTGAGCCTAAAGCACGCAAGTGTGTCTTTTTGGAATATGCCTCCACACAGAAGGGGTATTGCTATTTTGATCTAGTTCGTGGCACTTGCTTTGTTTCTAGAGATGTCACATTTGCAGAGTCTGTACCTTTCTTTGGTACTTCTCCTGAGAGGGAGAATTCAGAGATGTTGTTTGCATTGTCACCATCTGTTCCTCTTCCAATTCCCATTGAATTTTCTATGGAGTCTCCTCCAATTGAGTCCTTTATTGGCTCTTCTTCTCATGTTCCTGCTCCCCCTCCTTGGCTCTTCTTCTCATGTCCTCTATTGGCTCTTCATGAGTTCTTGGCATGAAATCTCCATTCACCCTTTTATACCCTGATAAAGAGTTGTCCATCATTCCTCTTAAAACATTTGGTTGTACTCCCTTTGTTCAGACTCTTGGTCTTCATCGTTCCAAATTTGATCCTAAAGCCTCAAAATGCATTTTCCTTGGTTATGCACAAACTCAAAAGGGATATTGCTGCTATGAACCTACTTCTGGGAGGAGATTTGTCTCTATGGATGTCACTTTCTTTGAGGATGTACCTTATTATCCTAGGGTTTCTTCTCAGGGGGAGTATAGTGAGGTGGGGATTCATTCATCAGAAACTCCATTACTTGTTCCGGTTACTGAAGAGGGGTGTAATGGAGAGGGTTGTCAGAGGTGACGGGATTTGAGAGTTTATCATAGACAGTGGAGGCAGGTTGATTTTGGCCATCATCAACAGTACAGGCCAACCCCAACTCCTGCTGATCTAGATCCAAGTACAACTGTCGTTCCTTCCTCCTCCATTACAGATGARATATTCCATTGTTGAGCCTTCACCCTTTCTTGTTGAACCTTCGCCCTCTTGTGATGACCTTGATTTTCCCATTGCAATCTATAAAGGCAAACATTATTGTACCTCATCTATAGCCCATTGTATTTCCCAGTTCCTGTCCTATGATCACTTGTCCCCATCCTACAAGTCCTTCTTGACATCCATTGCTGCTATTTCCATTTTTAGAACAGTGCAGGAAGCCTTGTCAGTTCTTGAGTGGAAGGATGCAATGAAGGTAGAAATGGACACCCTCCTTAAGAACAACACCTGGGAGCTAGTTGATCAACCTAAAGGGAAGAAACCAATTAGATGTAGATGGATATTTACTGTGAATCATAATGCTGATGGTTCCACTGGAAGGTATTAGGCCAGATTAGTTGCAAAGGGATTTACTTAGACATATGGCATAGACTACTTGGAGACCTTTGCACCAATAGCAAAGATGACCACTATCAGAGTTTTATTCTCTCTTGTAGCCAGTTACTCATGGCCTTTGTTTTAAAAAGATGTTAAAAATGCCTTCCTCAATGGAGACTTGCAAGAAGAAGTTTACATGCAGTTGCCTCCTAGGTTTTATAGTGTAGAAACAGGAAAGAAGGTTTGCCAGCTGAATAAAGACTTGTATGGACTAAACTAGTCCCACAGAGCTTGGTTTGATAAGTTCAGACAAGCCCTTGAAACGTTTGACTATGTGCAAGCTCAGTTAGATCATGCTCTATTTATTAAGAAGGTGGATTCTTCCTTAACCCTATTTGTTGTATATGTGGATGATATTGTAGTGACAGGGAATGATAACAATGAGACTGAGTCTCTTAAACAACTCCATCTAGAGTTTGAGGTAAAAGACCTAGGAGAGCTACGATACTTCTTGGGTATTGAGGTAGCTCGGTCCAAACATGGGATTTTTTGTTTTTCAAAGAACGTATGTTCTTGATTTGTTGGAAGAAACAGGAAAGTTGGGTGTTAAGCCTACTAACACACCTATTGAGCAGAATCACAGGGTCAGTGCAAAAGGTGGAGAGCCCCTTGAAGGTAAATCTATGTTCCAACGATTAGCTGGAAAACTTCTCTATCTTTGTCTCACTTGACCAGACATCAGTTATGCAATCAGTGTAGTCAGTCAATATATGCACTCTCCCAGAACTACTTACTTGCAGTTGAGAGGATATTGGCATATTTGAAGAGATGTCCAGGTAGGGATATTCTATTCAAGGATAATGGTCACATGAAAATAAAAGTCTACATAGATGCTGATTGGGCTAGGAGTGTGGATGATGGGAGGTCTATCTCTGGATATTGTGCCTTTGTAGGAGGTAATCTTGTTTCTTGGAGGAGTAAGAAACAAAGTGTTGTTGCTCGCTCCAGTGCTGAAGCTGAATACAGGTCCATGGCAAATGGTGTGGCTGAAATCCTATGGTTGAAATCACTATTTGAGGAGTTGGGTATTACTTATGAGAAACCCCTAATGTTGTATTGTGATAATCAGGCTACTATTAATAGCCCATAATCCGGTACAACATGACAGAACCAAACATATTGAAGTGGACTGACACTTTATTAGAGAAAGAGTTGCTTCTCAAGAAGTGTGTCTTCCATATATCACCTCCAACATGCAACTTGCTGATCTTCTCACCAAGGCAGTTTCAAAGACAAAGTTAGAAGCAGACCTATGCAAGATGGGAATGACAAACATCTATTCCCAACTTGAGGGGGAGTGTAGAGAACATTATTGTGGCCCCCACTGTTCATTAGTCTAGTTTATGTTTATCTTATTCGGCAGTTAACAGTTAGTTATTTCAGTTTGTTTTATTATTAGCTCTTTATTTTATTTATTTTCCATGTAAGCAGTAAGGGTAGTTCAGCCCTTTCATCTTTATTTTAACATTAATATAAATTGTAGAGTGAGGTGACAATCTTAGCCAACACACTCTATTTCAGAATTCTTTTCTTCTCCTCTTCTCTTCTCTTCGTCTCCCTCTCTCAATCTTATTCTGATTATTTTATATTGAACCTAGGACTGATTGCAGTCCTATTCGACTACAGTTTTTTATACCATTGAGCTTGCATATTAATTAAAAAATAGCAATTCTCAATATTAAAAACGCTAACTTTCCTCCCAAAACATGACAAAGCATCATATCTAAGAATAGTATTTCAAATATGTTAATTTATATACTTTACAAAACATAAATACTAATATAATATGCATTTAATATAGAAATTTTAATATCAAATTAACAACGAAAGAATAGAGAACTTTGTCATGTTTTGAGAGAATAGAGAATTGCTCTTTTTGTCTTTTTCTCTTCTTAGAACCCTTGGATCTTTTAAACTCACTAATAGAACTTTAAAATAAAGTAACAATGTGAATGATATTATAATAAGGCACCTGCGAAGGCAGGGGCCTAGTCACCTAGACGGGCCTTGTTACCATAAGACATTTAGCAAGCCACCCAGCCAAGGCTGCCTAGTGGTCCTGAAAACATCGCCACAATTCTACCATTTTGATCTCTGAATACTCCTCCTATACCTGAAGGGCCCGGATTACCACTAGAACTCCCGTTGAAGTTCTATTTCACTATCTGTTGTGTTGGTGGGGACTACAATTCCTGCACAATAGGTTTAATGGAAGTTGTAGATGCCACCACTTCCCAATTCCTGTAAATGTCTTCAGTTGAGAATTCTCTAGCTGGTTTTCCACTTTCACCAGTATCCTWAAGGTAGATAGGAAGTACACTGGTAAGTTAGCCAAAGTTGACTTTATTAGGGTTATCCTACCTCCCAAAGAAATGTACTTTCTCTTCCAATTCGCAAGTGACTTTGTAAATCTCTCAATCATTTGATACCAGAAACTATCTATATTAGGATTTCCCCCAAATGGTAGTCCCAAATATTGTAATGGCCAATTCCCTACTTCACACCCCAATAGTCCAGCTAGCCAAATCACCTCTTCACTCCCTAAATTTACTCCTGCCACACAACTCTTGCCCCAATTAATCATAAGGTTGGAGATCCTCTCGAATTTATGGACTATCCTTTTTAGGTTCACAAGTTMTGTTTTCCCTTCACAAAACAAAAGAATATCATCTATAAATTGTAGGTGTGTACCCACCACTCCATCCCTTCCAACTCTCCAGCCTCTAGCCATATTGTTGGCTGGCTATCAAAACATCAGCAAAATTGAATTATAGTTGCACACAGGTTGTCTGACTGGACCGAGTAAACTATATGGACAGTTGCCAGCCATCCACATCAGTTGGCATCCTATCTATATATTGGAATTTTTTTATATCATTCTAAAGAAGCACCTGCAGTTTTAAATTTTAAATAAAAGAAATGTCAAAAAGGAACTCTCTTTTCCTTCTCCAAGAGGCCCTTATGATGAAACTTGACAAGTAAAAGAGGGGGATGGGTGGAAGATGTCGATCCCTTGGCTCACATCCTCAGCAGCCAATATATAAATTACTAAATTTCCACCTAAAGAAACCAAATTAGATCCACAATAATCTTCAAAAGAACAACAAATAAACAGTATATAAGATTAAGATAGAAACAGTTAAAACAATATCATATAATCTGTAAAATAATGAGTAGTGCCAATATTTACACAAAGGTGCATGTACCTGATAATATAGATAGGCCGCATAAAAGAGCACTAGAAGTGGCACTATGGCCCAGAGAGATAAGGTGCTCACTATGCCAATAAGCACAAAAGTTGAAAGAAGTTGTGAAACTTGGCCAAGAAACATGTTCACAAACACAGCAACATTCCGATCTATATCACCTAGATCCTTTGCAAACCTATTAATTACACGCCCAATAGGATTTGTGTGGAAGAAAACCATAGGAGCTCTCAATATTGAGTTAAGCATGGCATTGTGCAATCTTTTTGCAGCATAAAGACTTGAAATTATCAACCAATAGGAGTTTGCCAATGTAACTAGCACCTGAATAGAGCAAACATATAGAATATTAGTTAGTTACTGACACACAAAGAAGTTGCAAATCCTCCACAACTTTGTAGAAAATATGAAATTCTCATGACCACAGCTTGCCCATGAATCCAACCTAAATTCAAAGTCAACCGCATCAACCCATGGGACCATTTCACCTTATCCTTTTAATTATTTAAAAACAAAAAGGAGTTAAGAGGTCATTGCTTGGTATTATGATAAAATCTTGGTATGAGAATGCAACACTTCATGTAGAAACTGCTGGATTGTTTACTCAACTAATGAACAACTTTTCACATACCTGACCAAAAGACAGAAGGGCATACACTAGATTATAGAAAGCAGCACTATAATTCTTTGAATTGCCTTGATCTGTCCAAACACTTAACCAGGTGCTACTTGAAACACGAAGAACTTCTGTTGAAATATAGCAGAAAAAGAGTATCATAACCACCCATGCACCTCCTAATGCATTTTTATACCTGCAAAAGATTCAATAGCACATCAAAKAAGGTCTGAAACTATGGCACAAAAAATGAAAGCCGCATTTAAGGAAAGATGGTGCATAGTGCAGGGTAAAAAGCTCATAGACAGATAGACCAAATGATTAAATTTATCTAATTATAACAAGTTTTGACTAGAAATCGTGTATTAGTTTCCCTTGGAAATCTATTTGTTGAGTACTCCCAACCTTTCTAAGTTATATCAGGTATGATGTGGGTAATGGGCATAATGTTCTGTTTTGAGAAGACCTTTGGTTGGGCAATTCCACTAATCCACTCTCAAAGAACAATTTACCCTATTGTATTTGTTGTCAAATTATAAGATGGAACCTTTAGCTAAAATCTAGTCTACATACCGAATGTAATTCCTTAATTCTCCTCTTGGCCAAACTTGGCTCCACTTTCTTGGAAAGGCATACCAGTGATAGTAGGATTGGGTCAGCTTCTCCCACTGGTTTGTAATAGCCTGGGAGTGAACTTTCTGGTGAAATAAATTTGGAGTAAACCCGTCCTTCCTAGGATTCAAGCCCTTTGTTGGGAAGTGGTTCTGGGCAAGATCACCTATGACATGTTGCAGAGGTGGAGGCCATTTATGTGCCTCTCCTCTCACATATTTTGTTTGCATGGAAAGCAGTGAGACTGCTTCCCATTTATCGATCTCCTCTACCTTTGTGAATTGTGTTTGGTTGGAATTGTGCTCTCTTTTTGGGTGCAGGTGGGAGGCTCCTCAAGATATGGCTGGTTTATTCTCCCCAAACTTTCTGAGGCTACCGAACAAAAGATGCAGAATCTTGTTGGGGGCAGCAAGGGCAACAGTGATATGAGTGATATGGGAGGAAATGGATGGAAGAATATTCAAGGAAAATAAGTAAGAATGTAGGAGAATAATGGATAGTGTAATAAAGGTGGCTAACCAGGTGAAATAGTGAGAGCTTGGAGAGAAGTGGCTATCTCGTCTAAGAGAAAAGATAAGGCTGTGACAGAGTAGAAGCCGCCAACAATTCAAGGATTGAAGCTAAACTTTGACAGCAGCTTATTGGGTAACACAGGTCTGGCAGGAATAGGAGATGTTTATAGAGATACAAGGGGAGTAATCAAAGCTATATATTCAGGACCTATTGGAGTTAGTGACTCTTTAATAGCAGAAATAATGGTGCTGCTACAAGACATGAGGATAGCCAAGAAGTTGGGAATCCAACATTTAGAGCTGGAGGGGGACTCCAGGATGGTTATATCTTGATTAAACTACAATGTTCCAGGAGGTTGGGTATATAGGCATGTTGTAAAGGAGAGTGGGAGCTACATTTAATTGGATTAGGAGAACAGTAAATGGGATGGTTTGAAATTATTCTGGGCTAATTTATAATTAAGCTGGTTTGGAATTATTCTGGGCTAATTTATAATTAAGCTGGTTTGGAATTCCTACTGAATGACTGGACTTTCCATCCGTTGTACACACCTCTTTTATTTAAATTAATGAATTTATGTTGCTCATGAAAAAAAAAAAAACAAGTTTTGACTAGATGACATTTGAAACAGGAATAACTGAAATGAATTCCCAGTCCCTTTCATGTGCATTATATAGACCCTGTGATGCCTTTCATAAATTATCCAAATTTCATTTGATCTAATGCTAATTCTAGGGAAAGCAAGAAAATAGGCTGCCCTTGGGTCTACTTTCCTATGCACAATTTGGACTTCAAAACTAAGTCGGGAACTTCTATTGAAGCAAAGTCACTCTACAGTGCTTCTAGACCTCCCTATACATTGCAAGAAAAATGATATCATATTTCTTTGTTTTAGCATCATTGCTTTTTATAAGACAACGGAGTTTAACATATTCAAGTAAATGAGTTCAATAGTACAAGCAATTACCTCATCAGGACATTCCAACTAACAACACCTGTTTCACGTTCCTCCTGTTTAATAAGGACAGACTTGCCTTCCTTCCCTTTGTTTTTGTGACTTGCATTGTCTGACAAACCATTTATTTCCCCATTGGCAGCAGGCGTTTTTTTCTCCTGTACATGGTTCTCCCCATCTTTCTTTTCTTCCACGTTATCCTCCATTTTCCCAGCATTTTCCATTAATTTTTTGAACAATATCCCATTTTTAGTAAGTTCCTCAAAGGTTCCCTCCTCTTTCACCATACCTTCATGTACCAAAATAATCATGTCAACTTGTGGGAGAAAATGTAACTGGTTTGTAACAAGGACTCTTGTTTTTCCTCTCAGTTCATCCTTAATACATTTATCAAAAACCTGCAAATGCAATGGTATTTTGATTTAGATTAACAGTAACTGAAACCTCAATAAAATCAAATTATTTCTTAACATTTAACAGATCAATCTACTAGCAACAGTAACTCTATGCCATCAATTAGTTAGAAAACCTTCTTCATTGCAATAGCAAGTAATTTCCGCTGTTCCAATATCAGCAGTGGTGTGTACAATTTAAGGAAAAGAATGAGAGAAACTTCAAACAAAGAGGCAGATCTATGAAGAATATAGTGGACATCATCAAAATAAAGGTAACTCATAGGATTAAAATGAAGGRCATGGAAGAATGGAGAGAAGTTGCAACTTGCAAGATCCTACACTTCTAAAGACAGTTTTATGAGAGTGGAAATCTTCAGTAAACAATAGAGTGAAACTGAATTTTGATAGAAGCTCAATCCGGGACCGTCAGAGAATGGAGGTGTGTTCAGGGATGCACAAGGCAAAGTGGTAGCATTTGTCTCAGGTCCAATTGATCATGCTGGTTCTCTAAAGGCTGAAGCATTGACACTACTAGAAAGCCTAAGATTACCTAGCAGATTGGATTACAGGATACAGAGGTGGAGGGTGATTTAAAGCTGGTCATCTCTTGGATGTGCAGGCTCAACTCGGGAACCTGGATTTACAGGCAAGCATTGAGGGAAACTGAGAAGTAATCAAGGGAAGCTGGTGCAACATTCAGATGGATTAAAAGAACTGCTAAGCTAATGGGATGGTGGATTCCTTGACTAAACAACGGGTCGACAGGGAACAATATTTCTTGGCAGCATTGTAAAAGGCTAAATATAACGATTGGGTGGCTGGGTATTCAGTCCCAGCGCTGTCTGTACATTAACCCAATTTTTAACAAAATGTTCTTTGCAGATCAAAATAAAATGTCCTCTAAAACATGTTCTTTTAGAGTAATTAAGGGTGTGCCCCTTCATCAAAAAAGAGATATGCACAAAAACTCTTCCCAAAGAAAGAATTGAATTCGTGGTGTTTTTAGGAGCTTCTCTTTTCTTACACTCAAAATGGCTGGTTTGGTCAAATTCTTTTTGGCCCAAAGTTAATAAGTTTACAATACAAAATTTGCATTTCTGGTGCCTTCCCCTTTTTTGGAAACATTGAGGCCTTTCTACTGGGCTACAGCCCACAGGAAAAATTAATAAATACTCTTTCACTTATGTGTAGCTATAACAATTAGAAAACGAACTGTATGCAAGTGAGAATACAATGGTTAGCCAAGCAAGGGGCAAGAAGGAAACAATTGTTTTGGGCTCAGCTGTAACTTGATAATTACTTTGTAATGTAATTTTGGGGTCTCATCGAAATGTAACCTTGATGGGGGAGGCTGCAGAAAACGAATTTTGATAACCCAGATAAACAAAGGCACTATTGTGTAGAGAAGATTTATTTAATAAGGAAGATGCACTTTCCAAACAAGATATCGTACATTAATTAAACAAATCATACTCAACTAGGAGCAGAAAAAAAACAATTATACCCTTGAGTTTGTGAAAGATGCAGTTCTTAAGAAAATATGAAATTATCTATCATGTTGACAATACCTGTCGAGCTACATGAGCATCAAGGGCACTTAAAGGGTCATCAAATATGTATACATCTGAATTGGAATAGACAGCCCTAGCCATTGAAACTCTTTGCTTTTGACCACCACTAATATTGACTCCTCTCTCACCAATCTCCGTGAGATCTCCACCCTGATACAATAAGGGGTAAGTAGAATATAGAAATGCAGGCATACCTATAGAGAAAGTTGTATGGGCATGACTCCTAAATAAGATCAAGTAAAATAAATATTAAGAACCTATCTTAATCTAAGATCATATGCTTACAGGGAGTATGTSAAGGTCAGGTTGCAACGCTGTCACTTCTATTGCCTTTTCATATCGTGCCGGTTCAAAAATAGATCCGAACAATATATTTTCACGTACCTGAAAGTACATGATTTGGCAGTTATTAGTGTAAAAAAAAGGGGAGATTAACCCTTAGCTGCTTGATAAAAGTCAGCTCTCTGGTTCCAACATTATGGAATGAGATTCTTTTCTGCTTTAAGTAATAGAATGTAAATTTTAGCAACCACATAATCACCACTTCAGCATGATACTACTCCATGGATACTGGGGTCATATTCCACAGTATGATGATTTGGTTTGTTCTCTGTAGCTACACAATCCATCTCCAAATAAATAATAGATAACAAAATTAACAGAATGTTACAACTTACAGTCGCATTGAAAATCCATGAAATTTGTGGGACATAGGCAACTGTTCCCCGAATAACAACACTTGCATCTGACATTGGAGGAAGTTCCCCTAGCATTGTTGATATCAATGATGTTTTTCCTTCTCCTGTACTGCCAACAATTGCAACCAGGCTACCAACTGGAATATCCAAGTTGATATTTGACAATGTCGGCTTCTCTACCTGATAAAACATAGCCAGTAACTAAGGCATGAAAAGAGGAATACTAATATGAGAGCATAAAGCCTTCTAAATATTAAGTTCATGCCATAATAATCCAAAACCTTAATATAATGACAAATTATTTCATGTAAACTTTTAAAAACGAACAAGGCTTAAAATCATGCTAAAATATTAACTTGTAATTAAACCAGTCAGGGCTGAAAACATTTTTTGTTTCCTAGGTACTGTCAACTGGACTTAGCATTCAGTTGCTAATGGTAATGATTAAATGTCATGTCTTATAACTTGAAGMAGCTAATATGATCTTAATATACTTGTTTTTAGGGGCTAAATTCCATAAAATGAAAAGAAATTGGGGATGGGATTGGTCTTGAAAGTTGAAACATTTTATTGTGCTGACATTTACCAATTAAATTAAGCATAAAACATAAGTAAACATTTTCTCCATACTTCCTATGAAAATAACATTTTGTTTCCTCAATGGCTGACTCTCATAGCATCTACTGGCTCACTGAAGAACAAAAACAAATGGACAACAATTAGCATGGATAAACCATGGATTTGGAATGGGCCTATTAACAATTGTCAAGGACGAGGACTTGTGACATGTACATATTGTCATAAAAGGATTAAATTGGTCTTATTTCTTCAATCCGCTTCACCATTTGCATTTAGAGCAATTCAGTGTGTATGTGTGTGTGTGTCTGTATATATATATATATATATATAGAGAGAGAGAGAGAGAGAGAGAAAGAGACAGAGAGAGAATGGAAGAATGTTTTTAGGGAAAATAGGAGATGGATCCAGTTTGATACATGATTCCAGACTATTTGATAGTGAGACTATAATTTGAATTCCCTAGACAGATATGATTTTGTCAAGAGGTTCTGGCCTTGGAATTAGTTGTGCATGTCTAGGAGTGTTTCTTTGCATTTTCTGTTGGATTAAGTGTATCTTTTGAATGCTCTCGTTTACATTTTTACTCTTTTATTTTCTTTAGTAAAAGTTTCTTCATATCAAAAGTACTATTCCCTCAACTTCCAAATACTTGGGTTCTTCTCCTAAACCCTCCAAAACCTTTTGTACTCTAGCATAACTAATACCATGCTCTAGGTCCTACCTTGTGCCCCATATGATATTAAGACAAAAAAGAAAAAAAAAAAAAAACATTGTACATAAAATCAAGTAGCTAACAAAAGCCTCCAAAAAATTATCAAAAAATTATGATATCTAAAAAGCAAAAAGACAACCAATTGAGGTGTAACCAGATGTAGGAAACAAGCATTAAAATGAAAACAAAATAGACAATGCCATCATATATATTAACGTGGAAAAATAAGAGAAAACAGGAGAAAAACAGAGAAGAGAAAGGGGAGAGGAAAGAAGAGAAGAGAGATTAAGAGGAAAAAAGGTCTGCTGGTGGCACCAGATTTTCTATTTATATTAGGGTGTGCACAAGATTACAGGAAAAGACAGTAATGCCCTTACAACACTATATTTACAAAATATGACAGTTTTAACACTCCCCCTCAAGTTGGGGCATAGATGTCAATCATGCCTAACTTGTCACATAAATTATTGTGCCACAATAAGGTAGGCCCTTCATGAAGGTCTCTGCAAGTTGCTCTTGAAAACTAACATAGGGGGTGCACATTCCCCACTTACAAGATTTTCCTTGATAAAGTGTTTGTCCAACTCTATGTGTTTTGTTCTATCATGGAGGACTGGATTGGCTGCAATATTGATGGCAGATTTATTGTCACAATAAAGGGATATAGGACCATCAATTGCAAACCCTAGTTCACTATGTTTCTCATCCACAAAATCGCAACAACTCCATGGGACATAGCTCTGTTCTCAGCCTCTGCACTAGACCTAACCACCAAATTTTGTTTGTTCTCCACATGACTTGGTTTCCCCCCACAAATGTATAGTAGACACTGGTGGATTTCCTGTTATCTATTGACCTAGCCCAGTCAGCATCTATATACACTTCAACCTTCAAATCCCATGCTTCTAAAACAACAAACCCGCTACTAGAAACTTCTTGAGATACCTAAGGATCCTCTTGGTAGTCTCCAGGTGAGTGGACTTAGGGGAATGCATGAACTGGCCAAGGACACCCACAGCATAAGCAATGTTAGGCCGTGTCATAGACAACACAAGAGTCTTCCCACAAGTCTCCAAAATTGCTTCATATCTACAGTTTCCCCATGATAGTCACCCATCCTATGATTTGGATCAATGGGAGAATCAATTGGCTTCACTCCTAATTTACCTAAATCATGCAATAGATCTAGGATGTGTTTCCTCTATTAAATGAATATCCCCGTTTGTGAATCAGATCTTTCACCTCAAACTGAGTGGCTAAGAACTTCTTCAACTTCTGAATTTCTGTCGTTCAATCACAAATGACTACTATGTCATCAGCATACACTATTAAGGCAGCAATTCTACCTTCCCCTCTCTTCACAAATAATGTATGGTCAGACTGACACTGCTTGAAGCCAATTTGTTGCACAGCCAAATGAAACTTGTTGAGCCAAACCCTTGGTGATTGTTTCAAGCCATACAAGGACTTCTTTAGTTTGCATACTTTCTACTCACTACATTGGACAAAAACTAGGGGATTGAACCATGTACACTTGTTCTTCAAGGTCACCATTCAAGAAGGCAGTTTTGATATCCAAGTAGTGAAGACCCTATCAAGACTAGCTGCCAATGAGAGGACTCTGATAGACTCATCTTGGTTACTAGTTAAAATCATGGTTTCAAATGTTTGTTGATGTCGAGGCTCACCGACATGAAAATGGATGGTAATATAAAAAWTTCCATTATTTTGGTCAACATTTCCTATATTTCGAAAATGTCGACCAAATTGGTCCAAATAACCAAAATAAAAAGACAGATTTTCCTATTATGTTAACAAGATGTCGACTAATGTACATTAATAATATAATATATTAGTATATTATATTAATATAATACAATATATTAATAYAAATTATTCCATTAATAATTTCTATTTAATATTTCAAATAAAATATTTATAAAAAAGAATTAACAAAAAATAAAAACAAAAGAATCAATTAATTACTTCATAATATAAAACATAAAATATTTTTCAAGTAATAAAATATTAACTAGTTAGTATTTTTATAATATTTATTAAAATCAGAAAATGTTTATTAAATTTTATAATAAATCATATTCTAAATTTAATATAAAAAATCAGAATAAATTTATTAAATTTTGTACTAAATCATAATTTATTATAAATTTAGTACTAAAAATCATAATAAATTCATTAAGTTTTATAAGAAATCAGAATTTATCATAATCTTAATCCTACAAAAAGGAGAATCAGTTTATTAAATTTATAATAAAACATAATGTATTATAACTTTAATATTTAAAAAATCAGAATAAATGTATTTCTATTTACTAGTTTGAAATAAGTATATTAAAATTTATAATAAATCAGAATAAAAAACAAGAAAAGAAAATATCGGATAACCTTGTAAAAACATCAAAATGCATAATAAATCAGTAAATCATCATTTACTAATTTGTTATTGATCTTAGTTTATTAGCTTTATATAATGGTTGGAATAAGATAATAGTCTAGAAATATGTATTAATGCCTCTTTTATCATTTTACAAAATATCATTGCATATTTCCACAATGTCTCTAATTTTTACAATATTTCCCCTCAACATTTCCGATATTTCCAACATATGTCCTATATTTTGGTAAGCAACATTTCCATCGACATCAACATTTTAAACCTTGGTTAAAATGTCTCTGCATAATCTACTTCGTACACCTGAGTGAAGCCTTTTACCACTAATCGGGCTTTATAACTTTCCACTGTGTCATCACCCTATGCATCACTATAAACACCCACTTACATCCTACTGGTTCATTTCCTTTAAGAAGATCCATCAACACCCATGTACCATTTTTATGTAAAGCATTGATCTCTTCTTTCATTGCATTTGTCCATTTAGATACTAATAGAGCCTTTACTACATTCTTAGGGATAGGAACATTGTCAAAGGAAGAGTGAAAGGCACAAAAAGAAGGTAAAATGTGATGTGGACGCCGGCAGCAGCAGCAGTAATTTAGTGTTCTCAGCAGCAGTAATTTAGTGTTCTCAGCAGCAGTAATTTAGTGTTCTCAGCAGCAGCAATTTAGTGTTCTCATCCTATCTTATCTATTCAGTATTCTTACCTTATCTGCTTTCAATAGTAGGGATTAGTAGGAGTCTTATCTTATCAGTTCAGTAGTATGAATTAGTAGGGAGTCTTATCTTATCTTATCAGTTCAGTAGGATAGATTA